GGCGCCTACTTATTGGGAAATTATTGAGTTCTTTTAGAAAAGCAAATAGAACATTTTCTCTTCATAAATCATAAATAAGCATCCCCTGTATTTTCCCTTCGCATTTTTCCGTAAACGAGAAGTTTTTTTATATTTTTCTTTTCGCAAAAGATTAAAGATTAATTATAATCGCAGTTTAAATTTTATGGGGCGCTGTTTTTAAAAGACCTTTGATAAGAAACAAAAAGCTTTTAATTTCTTCGCGCAATTCATGCATCTTAGCAAATTATACCTCTTTTATTCCGGAAAATACGACTTTTTTCTTCAACGTTGGACGTTCATTTCCCCAATTAACAATGCGGAATTTTGATATAAATATGCCGAGGGATCGACAAGGACAGGAGCGTACTTAATGTTTTTATCCGAATCAAATAAAACAGAGTAGATAATATTTATTTGGCGATTAGTATTCCAGCTAATTTTACTTTAACACTTTTTTCGCGGGGTACCCATTTCTTTGGTAATGTAGCGAATAAATTAATTAACATACAGTCGTAAAGAGATAATTAACATAAAAACCGTAGTTTTTGGATCGTTCTTTGTTGTAAGGGCCCACAAAAAAGTTTATTAGAAATTTTGCTGTATAAATTCCCAAACCAGTATTTAATCAGAATTGTTAATCCAAGGGAATTAACTCTTTGCCTGATTACATGAATAGTTCAGTAGATTCTTCCTTTTTTTAAAGCGAAGTATACGAACAATGCAAATGTAATTTTTCCCTAATTTCCATTAGCAATAAATCAGAGGGATTCTCTTTATATTTAAAACGTTATCTACCGTCCGAAGCCGTACGATCTAGGAGGAGGTTATGTCCGGTGAAGGAAAGGTGAAGTTATTCCAGGTTATATCGTTAGTGCTCGCTCCGGTGCACAATGCCTTCTTACTACGCGAACTTTGTCCTCCATTTACTCCATCCCATCTATCCCTTTTCCGACGTTCTGTTCCATGACGATTGTTATATACGTGTAACGCACGAAATACGGAATATCCTTTGTACAATTAACTGCAGAGAACGTTCTCTTCAAGCAATTCAAAGAGAGAACTTGCTAAACAGTTGCTTTTTTTCTCCATTAAACTCGGTGTAAATATGAATGAAAGATAATGGACGAGAAATATGTACGTAGATTTAAAAAGCCTGTGAGGCAATGAATGTAATTACCGGATGGTAGTGGATGAGGAAAAATAGTTTCCGTCGTTTCCGTTCGGTCCTTTGGTCGGCAATCAACGGACGGGCGGAAAATGCTCGGCAAACTCCACTAATTGGACAGTCCTTTGATTATTTCGATCCGTTGTAGTAAGCTACAGATAAGGACGTTAAGTTTGCTGCAATAAAATGTCCCCAGAAAAAATCGAATTGTATGGGCAATTAGCACATTTGCTTTGTGTTGCTTTTTTTTGCAGGTAAATAATCTTTCCAATAACCGAGTTATAAGTCTCAGTTTATTGAAAAATCCCGAATGTTCCGTAACGAACGTTTAAAATTGCGATTCTCTTAGTGTCTTTTCAGCAGTTTTAATATTGGAAATATTGCTCTATAGAGTAAATAGTGGCTACTTGAGGATATTAAAAAGGTGATGGGTATTGTATTTGTTTGGTTTCTTTCCATGCACGTTTCCCCATTCCGACTACTTAAGTTATTTACTGCACATTTCTGTAGATGCAGTTTTGCGTTTGCGGTAATTATTATACGAGGAAAATACACAGTTAATTGCCCATAGAGATTAAACGCAAAACCGTTTCTTTAGTTTATAATTTAGTGATGGGTATACCATTACATAGATAGTTAAATGGTCATTAATTATACTGTTATATCCAATAATTTTGTGGTGGTATAATCGTTATACGGCCACGGCCTTTTAGTTGTATTGAACGGCACGAAAATAATTAATCATTGGAATATAGAATGGTTAAAATTTCGATGTCAAATGAGCGTCGATAAAGCAACATAGGTCGCATTTCGAGTGCCACAATACAGCAAGGGAATATCTCTCAACAAATTGATTTATAATTGACGTGAATGGGAAGAAATATGTCCTAATTAAGGATACGCACAACACATGCCACCATGAAAATAATAGCGGGTAATGCATTAATTTCGAGATTAGTAATGAACGGGATATCTCCAACAACTACGATCTGTTTTAGGGGGGGCGGCGGCAAGAGGTAGTCCATTAATCAGGCATATTACAATTCGCACACACCGCCAACAATACCAAAACATGTCGTGCATTTCCCCATATTCTCGCACATAATATTATATAATTGCGGCATTGTAGAATGTCGACCATGCACATTGCGTTATTTCAGTACATGCTATTACAACTATTCCACTTATTTCGCAAACGATGATGATTAATTGGCAATTCGAATGCTTAATTATGTTAATGATTTGGTTTTTCGTTATTCGATGCCTAACATTCCCATTAATCACAAAATGGTTGTAAATATTTGCATACAATGTGAATTATTGGTATAAATTTGACACTATTTCGGGTTGGACGCTTTCAATTCAATAGAACTCTTAACCACCCAATTTCACTGAGCTTTAGCTTTAATTAAAGTATTCAAGACCAAGCTGAACAGCGCTATTATTCCAGCTAATATTATAGTTTTAAAACTATCATTACTAAAATTACTTGATAATGTTCGGTTCAAATTAACCTTTATTTCCTATTCATGAAATAGATACCTAAGACGAGTTATTCGATAAAATCATCATTATTGTAGTTATTAAAGGTATATTACCCGTAAAACCTTTACTAGAGTCCATTAGAACTTGAAAGACCATATATCTTGTAAGTTGGGTCAAAAACTCAATTACAATGTTAAACTTTAATTAAGAGAAAGGATGTGTGTAATGTTCATAAAGAATTCCACGAAACAAACTGTTTAGGTATTATACACCTATTAGGGAAATAAAAACAATTTATTCTAAAACGTTTTCCACCTGTTTCAGCGTTTCCATTGTATAAATTCATGACTCAATTAAACTGATATACAGGAATCAAATTCATACTACAGCATTTTTTGTCATTCCAATTCTCCCAAATTAGTTTCGTTATTTCAATCCCGAATTCGAATTGTCAACCGTCGATCAAAAAATTCGACCCCGAAAAACAATTCGTAGTAAAAATACCGTATGTAACTAATTTAATCAACTTCGACGAGAAATAAAGCAATCGAATTCAATATCGAGCAGCATAAAGTCTTCTGAATAAGCCTTACGAATTATTTTCTCCCGTATACTTTCGTCGAACGTCTTCATAATATAAAATTACCCTGCATTTCTCCTCCGAGGGAACATACCATCGGTCTAAGTGAAATATTCAATAAATTGAGCAGTCGAATGCATAGTTCAAAGCATTGGCGTTGCCTCCAGGGAAAACTTCATTTTATAATTCAGACCTTCCAATTCCACCACGAAAAGCGGAGTTATTGACGTTGAAAAACTTCTTCCATATTGCATTGTTTGTTTTAATTGTAGTCATTTGGAATAAGAGGATAGTTTGGAGTTGTTAGGTATATTTCGTATATAATTTTATAGTAATAAAATTTCCTTTCCATATGTGAACAAACGATTTATGATTTCAATTTATCGTATTTGGACGGAGCGGCCAACAATGGGAAGCGCCCGATGTTCTTAGAATTGTCTGGTATGTGTGTGTTTTTTTTTATATGTTCCGTATAGAAGGAAAAACTTGGCGTGTTCGGGGTGTACCTTTGTGATTGAATTTCCGCCAACTGTTGGCGCTCAAATCTATTTCGGAACGTAATCACGTTTCAGCAGGTGAAAAGTGAAAAATCGTCTGACAAAATTCCATTTAATTTCAGCGAAAATAAGGAAGGTGTGCTATCGAATCAGTAATTTCGGCACGTGTCTTTTCGACCTCGTTTCATTGATAAGACGATAAAACTTTTGTTGCCTAATTTTTATGGGCCTCCATTTATGAAACTCTGATAGAAACTATATCGATTGGAAATATCAATTATTATTATAATAGCTTTGTTTTTAAAACTTGCATTTAGGTATCTATAGGTCATGTATAAATTTCAATTATCGAGTCAAATTGGCCAAATTAGTAGAATCGTCGATAGAGCTATTATCGGATGAAATAACGGAACAAAATCGATTCTCTTAATTCGAAATCATTATTCGGAAATTGAATGGATCATTCGTTTTTGTTTGTACTCAATTGCGACAGTATAATTATATTTCATCTGCACATTGAGCGTTGTGGATTCGAATTACGCCGATCAAAAGATCCGCAATTAATAAGTAATTTCCAATTCGAATTGAAAAATCGCACAAATCACACAAGCGCTCGCGGTTTTATCTATCGCTTTATTAATTATTATTCTTCAAATTCCATTAAACATTTCTCTGAAAGGTCTATTTCCTGGTTGTCTGCGGAATAAGCTCGCTCATCCCTTTCGGGCGATTGACGGATCGAGATTCCCCAAGAATTCGGGCGGGCGTTGGAAATGCGGAGAATCCGCCGAACAATGTGTCACCGCAAAACCCAGATAAAGACTGGAGGTGAGACGGCGCCATTAATTGCGTCCTGCGAATCGTCAAACGCCACGACGATTATGTCGAGAAGGGTCGCAGGCCACTCATCAATCAGCCGTCCCGTTAAAACGAAAACCAAAACAGATTACGCGTGCCGGCGTGTATACATACCCTCTATGGACGAAGGGGAAGCGAGGGACGTATGCACGCATACAAATGAGTAGCTAATAAATTGATTGTTACTCAATTAGGAAAGATTTACGGATTATGGGCTCGACGTTCGGTTGGAGGGAAAAATGAGCGATGGCACGCGTGTTGTCCACATCAATGGGTCGAAGAATTATGGCCGTTTTGTAATGAAATGTATTCGGAGAATTGTCTAAATGAATTTATTTTAACCGGTTCAATAACAGCAAGGCTGGTTCTAGCTTATTTTAAATTTATGTTTCAGAAGAATGGTACGCTGCTAAACTGCTGAGTGAGCCCAGCTTCGGTCATCCGATACAGAACGTGACCATAGCAGTGGGACGAGAGGGCGTTCTAATTTGTAACGTGAAGCATTTAGGAAAATACAAGGTAAATAAATTTATAGTAGGCACTACATTATTTTCATTAGAGAAAGGTGATAATTCTTTCGATCCCCTCGAAAATTATTATTATCTTTTCCAATCAGAAATTTCTGCGGGCTCATCGATTTGTATTGGAAACACGTTTACCGGAAATAAGGATGAAAAATCGATCTTATTATCCGCCTCTACTGGTCATTCTTCGTCGGCTGCTTTTTTCTTTTGGTTCGGGGAAGTTTTGATATTTCATCTGCCGGCCAAGATGATCATTTATTCAGCCTTTTCTCCTCGAAATGATACCTACGTCGTTTATTATTTTGTATCCGTAGCGAAAATTCGCGGTTCTTCTCCTCGCCGCCACATTGAATTTTTAAAGCGAAACATTACCCGTTGTTGCAGTTTGAAAAAGTAAACCCGACTCGACTCGTATATGATGATAGAAATTTTTATTTTCAGTATCGTAATGATACAAAGCAAAACTATTGAAGGCGCACTTTATGGGATAGTCGATTTGCTAGACAACAATGTCTCGAAACATCAACTCCGGGCTAAAATCGATACCTGATTATTCTTTGACGCAGAATGCAAATAATGAGAAACCATATATCTCGGCCGTAGGCGAAATATTTGCATTTTGAAAGTAGGAACTGCTGAACAAGATTAAAGAGTCTCGGCATCAAGAAAATATATCAGTATCACTGAGTCGATGTTAACATGTTATTGGAGCCGAGAGCAGACGAACAAAAGCACAGGAAAAATATGATAATAGATGACGACGAGCATAAACTTTTATATATTGAAAATTTCCAAGCCCGCATTATACACTCTCTAATATCATTCAGTACAAACAATAGTCCCTCAACAATCCTCTATATCAGTAAAAGGCGACAGGTGACAATAAAACTAACATTTCATACTTAATTATTAATAACACTTTCAACTTTTGTGTAAGTTGTTGTTAGGTGTATGGGGAACTCTTTGGTTCGTTCCATCACATAAATAAATAGTTAGCGAGCGGTAAATAGGGAAGTTTTTCTTTCGGCGCGCCACCGGAAAGAGAAACTCCAAACTATTTGCGGGGAATGGCGGATCCGTTCTGTAAATGGGTTGAAGGAAAGTTTTTTAAGACGACGGCGGCCGTCAAAGGGGAAAAGTTGGGATCGAATGTAGTGTCGTTAAGGGGAAAATCGACATCGAGATTCGAGAGGGCTCCTGCAAGTGCCAGTTGCTTGGAAAATTGTAAATAATTTCGATTCAATTTACTGTAAATCATGAATACAGGATTTTAATGATATCGAATTGTCACATTATAAATGTAATAAATTCCACCAGATTAAGCGTTTTTCATGTTTTTAGAAACCCTCTCGAAGCTTACCCTTTTTTAATTTTATTTAAAAATTTAATCAGCTCCAGGTAATGTGTATATTTACTTTCAGATTTAATTTCCTAACTTAATTTAAGTAACTAGTTAGGGTTTAACTTTTAGACTAAACGCAAGTTTATCGCATGTATACGGAAGTGATCTCGGGCGTAAAACGAAACTTCGAACTTATTGTTCGAATCTCCTTTTGTATTTTCGTCAACCGAACGTATTTTCAGCGAACGTACAGTTCATAAACAACTGTAAAACGACAACGCCATATATCAGTGATATTCCGTATGACGTTCACGAAACGACAGAGCGAGAACGGGGAGTATTACCGACGCCAAGAAAAGTTAATTACATTGTCGACGTTAGATAAAAGCAAATAGGTTCACGTTTCCAAAACAGAGGAGTCAATGCCGAATGTATTGTTATTCCAGTTTCGGGCGGCTCTTTCCCCACAACAAACTGTAGCAGCTAATTGAATTTTGGTTTTGCATATCAATAGTAATTAGTATTCAACGTTGTCTCTTATGTATCTATTCTACGGAGTGTTACAAAAGTTAAGAAATGTATTAATTTTTAACAAAGTCTTGTTGTAAATTGTAATGTTGCTTGATACATTTTGATACGATATATTTACCTACAGAAGAATGTATTTAAATTTACCATCAAAATTTTATATTATGTATGGAAACAGGCAAATATTCGATACAAATTTATTTAGTATTTTAATATAAATCCGCATATTAATTACGTGGTCAGAATTAAAATTCGTTCTCGTCGAATGATTTTTACGGAATATTAATTTTAATAAAAATGGATTTTCGGCGGCCAATGAATGCATATTCGAAGTCGAGCAAATTGCAGTAATTAAAACGCCATTGCGATTTAATGAAGCTAAATGAAGTCAGGTATTCAGCAGGGCCTGCAGGATGCATATTAATTAAAAAAATTACGTGTTACGCCAATGTTTTGCGCAATATATGACTTGACTATTATTTGCACCTGCAGGCATGTGGTGTTTAGTTCTTAAGTTTATTAACCAATCAATAATTATTCTTATTTAATAATACCTATACCTACTGCATTGTTGAACACAAACGTGCTTAATTGCTGTGTAGGAATAATCAATAAACTAATTATATTACAAACGGATAGTATGCACAATAATGAGGATAATACCTTATTCAATCAAATATTCATCAATTAAATCGAAATCAATACCTCAATAGCGCAAATAGGTTCTCATATTAAATCTCGAGGTTTATGAGTATGTTATGTACAATACATGTAGGTATAGGAAACTTGACAGGGTTTGCTTCCTCAATCCTATTTGTATACCGCATAATTAAATTTATCTAGTATATGCCGAATTCTTATTTATTGAATTATAGAAGCATAAAATATTTTTTTCAGAACACTTTCTGCATAATTATTCTGTAGTAATTTGTTTCTTTAGTACATCACAAACTTGTAATAGAATGCTTTAGAATTCGATTATAAATAATTTTCACAGGAGTTAGTTACAACTTAAAGTTTTTGTGAAGGTCCAAAGTGTCTGGGATCTTGTCTAAAATTGGACTCAACCCTCTGAAAAAAGAAAACAATAGTGAGTGAATCCGTTTTATGCACCCGACCTAATAGTGTCTCGATTCAACGGAAACTTTCTTCGAAATCTCGGGAGTTTACGAAGTCGAGGAACTTTACAAACTTTCCTATATTTCGTCTAATTAAACGTAAATTAATATACTTGTATACGATGAGTTCCATAAGCACCGTAAGCAAGGAGATTGATGTTTTAACATCGTGTTTGTTCATTATCCTTTATCCCTTTATTTACTAGAATTTCCTGTATTTTGTGAAAGGATAAAGGACTCAGTTTTGGATTTGAGAGTTTACCCGAAACACGAAGGTAATTATAATTTCCTAACAATGGGATTTTTCATGTAAAGTCTCCTTTGATTCTTCTATCTTACAGTTGTAGTGACACTCTACTTGAAGAGTCTTAAAGATCTATTGAAATTGATTAAAAATGGATGTTTGGATAACGTATAAAAATAAACGATAATGTTTTTATAATACAGAAGAAAATTTATTGGGCATTTTCTTTGCCGGAGGGCACTGTGATCGCAATTCAACAGGGCGACGATAACCCAGTTTACCCATCAGTTTTCCTCGTTTACCTCCCATCCGAAAGACGTTTAAATACGAATCTGAAATCCGGCAACGCGTTCGTTATTCCCCAATTTCAATTCAAGAATCAATCCCCTTCGAAAAGAAAAAAATTACCGGAAATCCCGTTTTACGACCGCACATTCGGCTTTTCTCTCCCGCTCTCTCTCCAAATATTTTCCGATTCACTACCGGAGTCGACGAGGGTTGCGCTAATACCTTCCGGAAGTCACTTTTGACAAATGATATAATATTCTTTTTATCTTCTGCGGCGCACTGTCAGGCGGTTGGGTTGCGTTCGCCCCGCCGAAAATAATACTCCGGGTGCCGATATAGGGAGGGCGGTGAATGCGAATATCCGTTTGCAGGTGTCTGTAAATGCCGTCGTTTTTATTCCGCTTTGTTACGTTTTACGCCTCTCGATAGCAGTTACCGAAAATACATTCCGAATAGATGCGAGAAATTTCTGTTTAACCTATAAAAATGTCGAGCGCGTGTCGAATTTACGCACCGGATTTATACGCGAATAATTTATAAGAAATATATCTTATACACCAACTCGCTTTCCCAATTCGTTACAATTCATAAATAAATATTTATTCTTTAACCATCATCCTCAATCAATCGAGAGGATAAACGAATAAAAAGTACACGCATTAATACACTTATACAAGGGCGAAACACAACCGAAAATTAATAATTAACCGGGAAAGGAGTATTTGAACACGAACCGAAATTTGGGCGGCCTCTTCAGCGGAAAGTAATAAATCACACACAGGGGACCTTGCCCGATTGTGATTCGACGTAGCAAACACCATTGATACGTTGAGTGCATTTCGATGTTGGGCTTTTTGTCCAAACTTCTGTTAATTGAATCCCCTCTAAAAGGAATCCGGTTATTTGACAAGATTAGAAGATGTATAACGGTCGGATTGTCAAAAATTATTGCCCCTTCGGTCCCAAGAATCGTCCGATTTCTCACACATAGCAATGCTAACTTTTTCATTACTACACTCCCTGTTAATTCTTTTATTTAATAGCTCCAATTTAGGTAATTAATATTTACGAGTCAGTTCCGAATGGATGAGTCTAATAGGGCGTGATAAAAATTAAAATTAATTGCGATTAATTAACTTATATTACAATTAAAATTCGGGCTCGAATGCGCCCGGAAAGCAACCCTTCCTAATTAGAGGAGGTGTGAAACGTGTAATGGTCGGGTAATTTAAGTCCGAAATACAACGAACGGTTTATTTGCGGGAGACGTCTGTTTTCGTTTCGGTTGAATAAACAAAAGTCAAGAGATCATTAATTCAAAAACGTTAGTAGGAATTGTAGGAAGGGTAGGTTCGAGTACGGTGGGTTCCCTTTTTTGTGAAATTAACGATGTTTCGGGTCGAATGTTTGGTAAATTTATGAGTAGTTAATTGGATTTATAAAATTTCTATGTTTATAAATTAAATACGTTGTTG